TTAATTGGATCTGGATCACCACCAAAATTTCATCAATTCTACGTCAATAACTTTTTCAGTTAGGCTGTACACGCACAAACCAACAAACACACGCCGGTGAAAACATAACCTCCTGCCAACCCCTTGGCGGAGGTAACTATACTATATCTAACCTATGAACACACGGTATAAAGCACAAAGTAACACACGACAGAAATCACTTGAACTAAACTACGCAAACAACTGAAAAAAAAGTCTACACAAAGTGCAAAGTAAAACACCAGTACACTATCTATGTACATCAGATCATGTTTACCTAAATGTTGGAGTAATCATTCATTACTCCAAGCCGAAATATAGGAAGATATATAACATTAAAGTAAACAATACATCCAATTACTTCACTTACAAACATAAAATATTCTGCATGTGCATTGATCTATTTTGTATACAAGAACAACGAAACACTACAGTAAAATCTACGACTGCATTAAACTACTCTACTTACAATGACAACAGAAATATGACTGCGCACCAGAGAATGGACAGAAAAATGCTCAATCTCTTTACCTTTCCTGAGACGATTTTTTCATAGATTTGAATGGGTTGGTCCGCAAAGAATGGTGGGTATCCAGCAGCCATTTCATAAACGAGGACACCTAGTGCCCACCAGTCCACTGCCTTGTTGTAGCCCTACAATACAATGCATCCAGTAAACTACACCGTACCACCAACATGCACACTGGCCACCACAGCGTTACTCGTGCTTTCCCGACCACATCTTAGATCACACTTCTCGCCAAAGATGACCGTGGCCGCAAGATGACCCGCCCTCAGAATACAACGCCACCTGATGAAGGTAGGTAAAACAACAGTGCTTAGTTGTTTGGCTAGACGAAAGATTCTACTCACTTTGCTGAGAATGATCTCTGGCGCCAGATACTCAGGAGTGCCACATAACGTCCATGTTCTGCCCTTGACCCGCTTCGCAAATCCGAAATCCGTCACCTGCAGAGATGAGAGAACGATAAGGTGGGATGCGGCACGAAGGCGACTGTGACTCGGGAACGGCTGGTCATTGTTGGACAAGTCAGGCAGTTGCTGCTATATCAGTGCTGAACTGAATGACTGCCAGATAGCGTGAAGTCTTGAAGACAACAGATACAGAAGAGATACAGAAAAATGTTTAACACATCTGTTTGATATAGAATATAGTTGAATGATATAGAATGTTTAATGTATGGTTACAGCCTACATATTAGATCTGTGTTAAAAAAAATGCTGTATAAACCAATGAGCTAGTAAATTGGGAGAGGAAGAGGCAAGACCTGCCTTGCAGAAAACAAACCAGAGCCCTGGCTTAGGCAATTCGTCATGGGAGATGGGAGATGCTCCCTGTGCAACGATGGGAAAAGAGGTTAAAAACAAAAAACAAATTTCGAGGTCTCAAACGGCTCAACAGTTTTAGCCAAAATAGAATTCAAAATCTCTAGCGCCAATTATCGAAAACTATTGCTAGTACCAAAACTAAACACAGAGTAAGCCTAAGATTTGCTAACAAGCTTGGCCAGTGTAAATCCTCCTAAGATTGGTAGTGGATCACAGAATGAGTCACGGGTGAAGGTGGCAAAGTGAATGATATCCCTGTGATCAATCACTAAGGATGCTGGTTTAAGGCCAGCCACGAAATAGCTGAGTGGGGGTTGTTGTTGTTGTTGTTGTTTTTTCACAGTGGATGTGCATTTGCTATGCCTGATCATCTTCCTTTGAGTATTTCAGTTTATGCCACTGCAAATAGAGCTCTTACTAAAAACAAAATAACACAATGCACCAGTGCAATGATTCGATTTCAGATAAGTCTTGACACTATGCAGCATGATCTCCCTTTGCTCATCTCCTGAAGCTGTGCGTTGAGGCTGAGTATTCCCCTGAGCCTGACCCTGAGCCTGACCCTGAGCCCGACCCCTGAGGGTTAGATTTAGAATTTCTTGTGAACTGGGATAGCAGATGCAAGCTGCAATTCAGCTTGCATCTGCTATCCCAGTTCACAAGAAATTCTAAATCTAACCCTCAAAACTACAGACCAATATCTTTACTAACTGATCAGCACATTAGGGAAAAGCATCATCAATAAACTGCTTCAGCACATTCGTTTTTCCCATCATTATGCATGAAGAATTTGGTTTCTACCTGTATAGTACATTCACATATATATCCGAGTTAGACAATAGGAGATACTCTGGACCATGGCCAAGAAATGAGAAGCTTTTGCTGTTTGTGCACATCTGGCACCAGGATTTCCTGGCCGACGTATGACTTATACAGTAATAAACATGACCCTTTCAACCCTACTACTGCAGAATTAGCTAGAACACTGCAGGTCAGCCAAATCGCATGTTTAAATTTACCAGCAAGTACTGTGAGAAAGGAGTAATTAGCTTAATCTCGTTCTATCCTTAGTCCCACGTGATGAAAAAAACGAACGCTTCTGTCCCATTCATCCGAGAAAGGAACCAACAACAACAAACATGCGATTCCACAATAAATTTTGAGCACTCTATAAACGGTGAGACATCTGCTAAACTCAGAAACTGTTTGCTTATATGTATGATAAACCCCCGCTGCAGCACAGTGCTTGTACTGTACTCACTAAATCCGACCAGTGTGGCAGGATATATATAGCACGCAGTGCTGGTGGCTGTAGAAGAAGTAGTGCTGGTGGCAGCTACAATATTTTGACGGAGGCAGTAAGGTGACTGACTGCTGCATATGTTTCACTAGATGTTTTTTAACACGTGCTGAAACATTTCTCTTTGCAAATGTCAGAGAGTGCGTCGGGATTTCATGTTCGGCCGAGTCTCTCGCGTATATCTTCCTTTCACTTCGCACGCTGATTCACTCCTCTCAGCGTTTACCATCAACCTATCTATTATTTTACATAGGTTCCCGTTTTTATGCATAGTGCGCATTAAATGCAATTAAGAATCAAAATATTATTGAAAACAGAGGCCGCAAGCTGAATTTAAATTGACTACGTCACCAATTTTCTATGGTAAAATTTGTAAAATTTTTGTTGCCATTTTTTTACATTAAAAGTAAGAACTAACGGGACTAAACGTATCCTCAAATTCTTACATGATAAGAATGTTTCTCAACTAGTTAAAAATCCAAAAAACCTGGACGATTTGATATTATGTTCCTGACATTAATTGCTTGCTATGCTTAGTCACGAGTGTATGTTTACATCGAACAATATAGTAAAATAGTATGCAAGTATAATGCAGCAATTTAACCATAAAAAGTGAACAGAATCAGTTATATTTTGTGAAAAAGTGGAAATATATTTTTTATTTTTACCATTTACGGTGACGTAATCACTTTAACCCACTCGGTAAATGGCCAAATCATTGCTGATTTTACGAAATGTCAGATCCGAGAAAGAGAAAACGGGCAAGTGGGGGGTAAAAAAACAACAACGATGTTGTTCTGGTGGGGGGATACCGTAAGCTTCTCCCAAATAGCCGAGATACAATAAAGGCTTAGATTAGGTAAGTAAAAATAATTGACGTGTATACGTGGCAGGGATCATACGCGGGCGGGGAAAATATTGCTGATATTGAAGATATTTCATATCATGGCGGGGAAAACATTGTGGGTATGGGGGGTGGGGGGGTATCGTGGGACTTTACGGGCAGCAACGCGTTTCCATTAGAGCGCTGACAGGATTTTCGACGCACCTTGATGTAACCTTGCGAGTCGATGAGAAGGTTCTCAGGCTTCAGGTCTCTGTAGATGAGGTCGAGCGAGTGCAGGTACTCGAACGCCAGCACGATCTGCGCGGCGTAGAAGCGCGAGTGTGGCTCACTGAAACACACACACACGCGCGACCTTAGCATCACCCACAACCACCCATACCACTCACACTGCACTAGTGGCAGTGACCCGTGGCAACGACCACCATTAGCAAACAGATGAATCTTTATGGCCACCTTTATACATGCATTACTCGCTGATAGATATGTTCCACATTGGCAATTACACACGTGAGAGTTGCTGGCTTACAGTTGTTACTATATTCATTCTACTTACCCTTATTAACGCAACGCGATATGATAAGATCACATTGGATTTGAATAAATAGGGCCACAATTAAAAAAATATTTGTTTGCCCTCACCCGACCCAGGCTGAAAAGTTTGGGTTAGGTAGGTAGGCTTTTTTTAAGGGGTCTTTTTATGAATTCAGCATGTGGTGTCTACATGCTCGGGTGTGCTTGTGTGGAGATACCTTTTATGTTGAATGTTTGTTTTGCTTGGTACATATAATGTATTGCCTACAGATTTATATAATGTACAGTGATACAATTTGTAATAAAAAAGGATCAATACATTTTTTTGAGTCGGCCCCTTTTTGGCGGGTCGGTCGGGTGAGGGCAAACAAACAATATTTTTATTATGGCCTAGGCAGGAGTCGATCAGTTACCAGTTCTGTGAGCATAGAAGTGCGTGGCCCAATGAGGCATAATACAAGGATTACAAGCAGTCCACATCACAGTGTTAGTTCTTTCGAGTGTTTAAACAGAAGCATGTCTCGCCCTTTCACCCGGTGAAGGCACACGTACATACAGATTAGTGGAATCATGCAGGTTAGGCCAAAACAAAATATATGTGTGGTTACCGTTACATGCCGGGGAAAAATAGAGTAGGTAGGTAGGAAAAAATATTTTATTTTCTTGAAATATTTTATTTACGAACCATGTCCGAAGGATGTGCGTTGTGCCTTTTGAAGCAGGTACTGTCCAATACATTTTTTTTAAACATTTTTATTTTTATTTTTTATTTTAAAGAAAATTGACAATAAAATGTTTAGGGTCGCTGGGAATAAATAGGGTCGGTCGGGAAACTGTAACCACACCTATATTTTGTTTTGTCCTTAGTGGTGCAACACATGCCAGAATGCCGAAAGGATAAGTGCTAGTTTGGTAAACAGCTGACACCAGGAAATAAGACATTGTCCTCCTTACAATGATCGTGGAACTTGATCAAATCCACTCTCCCACCAGGGTAGTTGATCCCATCATCCCACCCTGACTGCCCCATCCCACCCTGACTGTCTCATCCCACCCTGACTGCTGCCTCCCCCCACCTCTGAACTGTCCACCCCACC